ACAGGATCAGCACACCGAAGCTGCACTCGCTCTGCTGGCTGTCCGGCTCGGCTCACCCAAGCAGGCGCTGCTGAGAGGAGCAGCGCCGGGCCGCACGTCTTGCCGCCGACGTGCCCACGCAGCCAATCAGCGGCCACGCAGCCGCCCGAACGAAAGAGCCGCCGTCTTTTCGGCGCAGGAGACGTGAGCGTGGCGGAAGTGACGTCGAGCTTCTACCCGGGGTGCGAAAGAGTGAGATGGATAACCCTAAGCAGAAGAGACCGTGCAGGATTTCCCGCTGAGGCGAAAGTGAAGACTGGACGTGAGCGTCGCCCAGGCAGCCACAGCCGGTCCTCTGGAGCGGTGGCCTTGAGGCCTGTTGTCGTAGAGCCTAGACCATGCTCCCCAGAACCCTAAGCTGCCCCACAGGATTCAGCCCTTTGTTGCCCCTGAGTTGCAAAATTTTGTAGAGACGTATTCAAGATTTTAACTCTTCTCTATAATAGCGTAGCATCTCCTTTTGTCCAGCACTGTTTTGACAAATGTGAGACACCAGAGGATAAATTATTTTCTGTTTTGGTACCGGGGATCAAATTCCGGTCCTTTCGTTTGCGAGGCAGTCGGCGGCACCACTGAACTAAATCCCCCGTCCCAGGAGAAATTATTTTCTAAGGCAAGTTGGAACCAACTCAGGACTCTTTAGAAGAAAAATAGGAGAAAACACTTTATGACTGTTGACTTATTGTATCCTCCCTATATGTGCTAGGTAGTTCAGTGGTTCACAAAAAGTTTCTGTATTTGTGGACCAGCGGCACCAGCAGCAACCTGATAAGAGTTGCAAATTCTCGGACTCCATCAGAAATTCTGGGGATAAGGCTCTTGTCAGTGTTTTTGTAGTTTTTTGTTGTTGTTGTTGTTGTTGTTGTTGTTAAGACAAGGTCTCACTACAGGCTGGCCTCGAACTGGTCGAGAATCTCCTGCCTCAGCCTCTCCTGGGATTACAGGCCTGTGACACCTTTCTTGTCAGTGTTATATTAAGCCCTCCAGGTGGTGCCATGCATGGAGCTGCATGGTAAATTGAGATACCAAGGCACATCACTTCTGTGGACAGTAACTTGCCCAGAATCACTCCACTAGTACCTTGGTCTACCTGACTAAAATCTGTACTCTTAACTTGTAAGCTTTAAGTCTTAAAAGAGTCATTCAGGACTGGGGGTTTAGTTCAGTGGTTCCGCTGCCTGCCTTGCAAGTATCAATCAGGTCAGAACCTCCTTTTCATGTTTGTCAACATTCACTAGTATTTCTTCACTTTAGGTGAGCAACAGAATCTCCTAGGTAGTTTGCAGGATACAATACCTGGTGTTTTTCATGCTATTCCCACCCCTAAAATCTTGTTTCAAGAAATTGAGTGGAGTCGGACCTCAAAGATAACACACACCATAGCAGACTTCGATGTCTGGAACAGGTGGAAGGGCTAAATGTTTGATAATGGGTGCAAACTTTTAATGCTAATTTTCACAATCATCTTGTTTTTTTCAGCCTTGCAAATTTCCTGAACCAGTTTCTCTCCATATATAACAGTAAAGCTTAACCAACTTACTCTAGTTTGGGAAATATTATTGGTACAAATCTTTTATACACTCTGTGTGGCATGTAGTTCTGGAACAAAATGATCATGTCATACAATATTGGAAAAATGCTTAACCTGTGGCACACACCTGTAATCCCCTCAGGAGGCTGAGGCAGGAGGAGTGCCATGAGTTCAAGGTCAGCCTGAGCTACATAGCAAGACCCTGGCTAAAAAGAAGAAAAAAAGAATGCTTGACCTGTGACCAAATGGTAAATTTTCAATCTGCCGAGTCTGGATGTGTAATGAGGAATCTGATCTGGGTGGATTAGGGAAGAACAACTAAAACAAAATAAGCTGGGCATGGTTGTGCAAGCCAATAAACCCAGCACTCAGGAGGCTGAGAGAGGAGGATCACATGAGTGAGTTTGAGTTCGAGGCAAGCCTGAGCTAAATAGTGAGACCCTATCATAAACAAACAAATGAGAAAGTAAGAAGAGGAAATGGGAAGTGAAGGAGATGGTGCATGCAAGAAGTGTGAGGTAACAGTAACGCAGCCAAGAGTGGAATGGGAAGAATCATCCTAAAGAACGTTGCTGGTTTTGGTCCTGGGGATTCAACTTGGGTTCTTGCACTTGCAAGGCAGGCACCGGAATCACTGAGCTAAATCCCCAGTCTGAAGAACGTTATTTATCCCAAGAGTTGGGCCAAGGATTAGGCTCAGTGGTACTCTGCCTGCCTCATAAGCACAAGGTCCTGAGTTGGATCCCCAGTACCAAAACCCCCTGCCAAAAAACCAGAAAAAGCTAAGGAAAAGATTTGAGTAGATAGAATAATCAAGTTTGCATCTAAGAAGGATTACTCTCGGGCTGGTACACAACTCAATGGTGAGGGCATATTTAATATGTGTGAGGCCCTGGGTTCAATCCCCAGCACTGTCAAAAAACAATAATAAAGGACTGAGGCCAGGCGTAGTGGTGCACAATGGTCCCACCATTTGGGAAGCTAAAACAGGAAGTTTGCCATGAGTTTGAGGCCGGCTGGGGCTACATCATGAGTTCAAGGCCAACCTGAACTATATAGTGAGACCCTTTCTCAAAAAAACAAAAAATAAAGGACTGGGGGTGTAGTTGTGTGGTAGACTACAGCACTGCCCAGCATGCACAAGACCTTGAGTTCAATCCTTAGCACTTGGAAAAAAGGCGGGGTGCTGGGGATTTAGCTAAGTGGAGCTGTACGTGCCTTGTGAGCATAAGGTCCTGAGTTTGATCACTGGTATGGGGAAAAAAATACCACCTCCCCAAAAAATTTTTTAAAGGGGGGGGGTTAAGAAGGCTGTTAAATGGTGGCCTGCTGAGCAAGTGCAAGGACCTGAGTTCAATCCCCGGTACCAAAAAAAAAAAAATGCTGTTAAAGTCATTGAGAGTTTCTAGGAGCACAAAAGATGGAAAGATTGTATTAAAAATGAGTTCTTTTAGGGGCTGTGGATGTAGTTCAGTGATAGAGCACTTGCCTAGCATGTAGGATACCTTGAGTTCCATCCCCAGTATCACAAAAAAGTCTTTTGCTTTGTGGTGTAGGGGATTGAAACTAGTAAGTGCTGAGCTATGTCCCCAGCAGGCTTTTTTTTTTTTTTGGTGGTACCAGGGATCGAACTTGGGACCTATACTTTCAAGGTAGGTATGGTAGGGCCACTGAGCTAAATCCCCAGCCCTGGGAATGTTTGAATTTTGAAACAGGGTCTATGTTGCTAAGGCTGGCCTTGTGATCCTCCTGCCTCAGCCTGTCAAGTAGCTGGCATTATAAATGTGTACTACTATGCTTGGCAAAAGTTCTTTTAAAAATTCTTGCTAGGGCAATTCGCTTTGATGCCTGGTACCACAAAAAACAAACAAAAATTTTTATTATTAAAAATATTTAAAAATATTTATTTATTTATTTTTGGTACAAGGGATGGAACTCAGGACCTTGAGCTTGCCAGGCAGGTGCAGTGCCACTAAGCTAAAACCCCAGCCCTTTTAAATATTTATGTATTCTTTTTTTTTTTTTTTTTTTTGAGACAGTTTCATGTGGCCCAGGCTGCCTTATCATCCTGAGGGCTGAAATTAGGGCCCAGGCATGTGCTAACAAGCTTGGCAAAAATATTTTTTTAATCATAATGAAATATACGTAATAAAATTTTGATTTTCCAGTACTGAGAATTGAACTCAGGGGCTTCATACTGAGCTTATTGAAAATAATTTATGCCATTAACATCCCAATAATTTGTGAGAATTTATTTTGGGACCCTCTGTTCTGTTGAATTGTGGTTTTTTTGTTTGTTTGGCTTTTTGGGTTTTTTTTTTGTTTTGTTTTTTTTGGGGGGGTTTTTGAGACAGGGTCTCACTATGTAGTTGAGTCTGACCTGGAATTCACTATGTAGCCCAGGCTGGTCGCAAACTCCCAGCAATCCTCCTGCCTCAGCCTCCCAAGTGCTGGGATTACAGGCGTGCACCACCACGCCTGGCTCCTGGAATTATGTTTTTTTTCCCACCAGTGGCTCACTGTTTTGATTACTGTAGCTTTGTAGTGAGTTTTGAGACCAGGAAGCCTTCCCTCAACCTCCAACTTTGTTCTTTTTAAATTTTTATCTTTTTAGATAGGGTCTTGCTATGTAGTCTAGGCTGTCTTTGAACTCACTATGTAGCTTATGTTAGCTTCAAACTAACAGCAATCCTCCTGCTTCAGCCTCTCAAATGCTCAGGTCGCAGGCATGTGCTACCATGATCCTTGAGGATCTCTTTTTGTGTGGTACTGGGGATTAAGCCCGGAACCTCTGTACTGAGCTATGTTCAGAATCCTTTTTTATTTTTGTTTTATTTTTGAGACATGGCATTATAAATTTGAGACATGATTCTCTTAAATCACTAAGTTGTCCAGGCTGGGTTTGAATTTGTGATCCTCTTGCCTCAGCCTCTCAGTGTTTTGGGATTATAGGCATGTGCCTCCAGACTTGACCTATTTTTTTTCCTTCTGATACTGTTGTAAATGAAATTGTTTTCTTAATTTTTTGATCAGTTTGTATATAGAAATACAACTGATTTTTGCATGCTGATGTTTTTGGGTTTTTTTGTTTTTTGTTTTGGTACTGGGGATTGAACTCAGGACCTTGTGCTTGTAGGGCAGGTGCGGTGCCACTGAGCTAAATCCCTGGCCCCATGTTGATACTGTTGTATCCTGCAATTTTGCTGAATCTTTTTATTCTGACAAGGTTTTTTTGTAGTATCTTTAGGTAGTAACTACATGAATATGTTGAAAGGAATCTCAGGAAGTTTCCTGAGTTTCCCCTGAAGTTTCTATGGGGGAAAAGAACACTGATTCTTTATATGTGCTATTTGTATTATATTGAAAATCTGGCCTTGTTGACTCTGAGGTTCATTAAGTTTTTTTTATGGGAGTGTGGGAGATAACAAAGTTATAGTTGGAATGGTTCTTAGATCCTGCACTGCAGCCCAAGGTCAACACAGCAAATTAGAGGTTAAATAGGCATGTGAAACCTGATCTGTATTTCTCCTCTAAGCTTTCTAGGAGCAGACAAAGCCATGCTGGCAGCCAGGGTGAGGGCCTTGCCTAGAAGGTATTCATGAACTCAGACTTGTTTTTTCTGCTTTCACCCAAGGCTTTCCTTATCTTGGGAAGTGGGAAACTGGCCAATCCCAGTTCATCTGGTTAAAACGAACATCTTGGGTGGTCTAAAATGGAAAAGAACTTGGTGAGTCAGATTTAGAAGTGGGAGATAAGAATTGGAAGTAGGACACATTTGTCTTTTAGCACGGGTTGATCACATAGGCTTAGCTTTAAGGATGCGTTCTTTTCTCCTAGCTGAATGTCTTGGAGTCACTGCCAGCTGCTTGTAATGGGAAGACACTCTCTGAAGGGTAAGACTGTGGCCTCTGACACTGATGGATCACAGGCAGGTGAGGAGGAACAACCAGGCACAGAATGAGCACTGTTGGGAAGCAAGAGGTCTGACTTTATATCCTGGACATTTTCTGTTTTTCTGTCTATAGTAAACGTTACAGCATTTTATAAGCCCTAAGTGCCAGTTTCTTAAGAAATGTTTTACACGAGCCAGGCGTGGTGGCACATGCCTGTAATCCCAGCACTCGGGAGGCTGAGACAGTAGGATCGCTGTGAGTTCTAGACCAGCCTGGGCTACACAGTGAGTTCCAGGTCAGTCTCAACTACATAGTGAGACTCTGTCTCCGCCCCCACAAAAAAAGTTTTGCATACATTTATTTTCCTGGAAATGCTAGCTGGGTTCTTAGTCATGCTAAATTCCTCTCTTTTAACCTTTGTTTTTCTATAGTGAATATAGATGTTTTCTGTTGGAGTCCGTGGGGGATCCCATTTCAGAGCTTGATACCAGAATCTGAGGGCACTCAAGGTTCCTTATGTAGAAGTATAGTATTTGCATGTAACCTATGCATCTCCTCCTGTATATTTAAAATCATTTCTAGATTACTGATAATACCTAAAACAACATAAATGCTATATAGTTGTTATACTGAATTGTTTAGGGAATAATGACAAGGGAAGTGTACATGGTTAGCACAACCCCCTTGTGATTTTCCATGGTTGGTTGACTCTATGCATGTGGAATCCAGGCATAAAAGTTACTCAAGTGAAAATTTCAGGAAGGCTATCTTTGACCTCCAAGTCACCATAGACTGCTGAGAGCAAAGTCAGTGGTTCAAAGAGGACTCTTCTTCCTCTCATCTGGTAGCTTGGAAATGTTGAGGGATGACATATTGCTCAGTGTTTCTTTGCTTGCCTACCATGTATGAGTCCCTGGGGTCTTCCTCTAGCAACACACACAGAGTCTTTAACAGGTATTTCCTAAATGAGGCTGTTACAAGAAAGGTGGGTCACTGTATTTGTCAGCCTCCCCCTTGCTGTGATAAAATATCCTTAATTTAAAGGAAGGTTATTTTTGCTCTCAGTTTCAGAGGTCTTAGTCCATAGTTGGCTGGCTCCAAGACAGAAATGGCATGCCAGAGGGCCTGCTGGAGGAAAGTTTTCATCTCCTAGCAGCCAAATGCAGGGAAAGTGCACCAGTGAGAGATGTAACCTCCAAAGGTGCCCCCCGCCGTGACACACCTGGGCCCTCCTAACAGCATTTCCAGCTATGAAGATCAGTGAGTCCCCTGACCAGGATGGCACCTCCACAATCCAATCACCTTCCTGAAGTCTCAATCCAGTGACATTTAAATTTAACCTTCAGTCTTGTTCCCATCTTCAGAGGAGGGTGCTACTCACTTTTATCCCTGTCAACTTTCATTATCTAGAATGCTCATTCACCTCAGGGCCCATCCATTTGAAAAATTGGTGTACAACAATTTTGGTTTCAGTTCTTTGAAAAGTACTTGTAGGAAGCATCTTTTTTTTTTTTTTTTTTTTGTACTGGGGATCAAACTTGGGCCCCTGCGCTTGCAGGGCAGGCAGTGGAACCACTGAGTTAAATCCCCAGACCAAGCATCTTTTCTTAAATAGTAGAATCATCTACTTCTCCTTTCTAGGGGAATATTAATATTCATTTTCCAGATGCAAATGAAATTTAACTTACTTTAAAAAAATTTTTTTTTCCCAATACTGGGGATTGACCTTCTTATGGAACTGAACCCCAGTCCTTTTTATCTTTACTAAGTCTCCCCAGATTGCCTTGGAGGGACTCAAGTTTGCAATCTGCCTCAGCTTCCCAGAGTTCTGCAATTGTAGGCATGTGCCAGCACACCTGGCCCAAGTTTAACTTATTTTTATTTTTTGGGGTGACAGGGATCAAACTTGGTTGCCTGTCTCACACTGGAGCCACTGAGCTAAATCCCCAGCCCCAATTTATTTATTTATTATTTATTGGTACCAGGGATCGAACTCAGGTCCTTGCGCTTGCAAGGCAGGTGGTGGAACCACTGAGCTAAATACCCGGCCCTAGCCCTGATTTATTTTTAAAGGAAGCCTTTCCAGCACTTACTCATTCTTTCCAACCCTGAAGCCAAACCAGGTGTGGTGGTGCACACCTGTGATTGCAGCACTTGAGAGGCTGAGGCAGGAGTATTGTGGTTGAGTTTGAGAGCAGTCTAGACTACATAGGGAGACCCTGTCTCAAAAAAGGCAAGGCAGTGGTTCTGCTGCCTGCCTCGGAAGCAGAAGGTCCCATATTCAATCCCTGGTACCAAAAAATAGAAAAGAAAGCCCTAGAGCCAAGTATCTGCTTTGGAGGATATTGATAGAGAAGTCAGAAAATCAGGACTTTTGATAAATGGGTAAAGTTGAGGCTCTTTTTCTTCTGGGGAACTTCACTCTCTAAATCCCTAAAGGAACGTGACTATGGAAGAGGACACACAGCCCTCCCTCTTTCAGGTGTACTGGAGAGAAATCAGGAAGTTTGGTTGTATGAGAAGCTTCCTCTGGGCCAGAGATGTAACTCAGTGGTAGGTTACCTGGCTAGCACGTACAAGGAGAAACAAACTTGTGCTTAGTCCATACCACTTTATGTAGCTCGATGCCAGTAGGTTCAGATTTTGGGCAGACATGAGTGACCTTGAAGCAAGACAAACTTCAAGTAGTATACTAGCTCTACTTTTTTCTTCCTTGCTCTGAACTTATACTAAGTATGCCTGTAGGCAACTTAAATCCCCACCGAGTTTCTTTACCTAGGGAAAAAGAACATCTCATTTTTGTGTGTGCATAAAATTCTAAAGGGTGCAGACCCAGGGCTTTTTTTCTCTCCAGCAGTGGGACTACTCAGGACCTTCATACTGAGCTATATCCCCAGAGCTTTTTGGAGACCGTCTTGCTAAATTGCTCAGACTAAGCTCAAACTCGAGATTCTCTTGCTTCAGCCTTCTACAGTACTGTAACACACCAGGCTTCAGAACCCTGTTTTTCTACTTTGGGCTGCAATTAGTGTATTGTTATTTTGATGTGCACTTACACAGCTATTTTAGGCAAAGGGGAATTTAGGGCTCACACAACAGGGAAGTGCAGGTGGGACTGGCTTCAGAAATTACTGGACGGGTAGTCTTTTATCGGCTTATCTCTGTGCTGGTTTCATGCTGTAGTTACATTTTTCTCAATGACAGGAAGAAAAAGGTGCCAGTCCTCACGTTCACGCGCTTATCACTTAGCAACCCCAAAGGTAACTACTGACCTCAGGAAGGACTGGCCCAGCATGGGCTGCGTATGTCCCTTACAGTGACAAATGGGATATGGAATGGGATTAGGGGAAGAAAATAGGGAGACAATGCACAAAACTCACAGATGGCTACTGGAGTGAAAGAGGTAAGGCAGAATAAAAACTCTCCAGGGCCAGGGGATAGTCAAGCACTTTTTTCTACTTTAAAAATAAAAACAAAACAACTTTATTTGACAAAAGACAAAACAAGTTATTTACAGTAGTTGTTTGCTCAAATAACTGAATGGGACAACTGCTTCTCCAGGTGTATAACCAACTCCAAGCAGAAAGTGCCCCACTGCCAGAACACCCCATTTTACGTAAGGGGGGAATGCCAAACAATTCAGCAGCATGGCTCCCTCACCCCTCATCACCTCCCCTGCTCAGCACTCTGTGGGAAGGGAAAATCCCATTCAGCCCAGTATCCTCCAAGTCCCGTTACAGAGCACCCTGCATTAGTCACAATGGACCTGGGCTTGCGCAGGTTGGACAGGCTGGGCATGCAGTTGCAACTAGCTCTGAAGCTGCCATGTTTATCCTTTACTAGCTAAGCCTCACGATATGAGGATCCCTGACACCCTCGGGCACAGGAAGAAGGGGCTGGAGGAGGTGGAACAGAAGGCTCAGGAATCTTGCCCACCCAGGGAGCAGAATTCCCTTCCTAAAAAGAAATCTATTCCCACACTCACAAGCAAGGGGATGGACCAAGCCACTTAAGAGAGGTAAGGGAACCTGCCAGGGTTCTTTCTAAAAAGACAGAAGATGTGTTCTGCCTTTCTTCTGGCTAGGCCCACCCAAGTCAGTCGACACCCAGGAATCCCTTCCCCTTGTGCCCATCCTGGCAATTTCAAGAAACTACATATCGGGGCTCCTGGCATAGTTTTTGGCCCAGTAACAACATTATATTAAGAACGAAAATATGCTGGCTAATAAAAATCTAAGATTAGTGTTTCTTAGAATATATAAAGATGGGGTATACTGCTGTTGAACACTATCAGCAATGAAACAGCAAAATAAAAAGGGAAAGGGGGAGATGAAGACCAGCTATGATGTGTCTCACTGGGAAATTCAGGCAGGCCCCTGGCAACTCCAACTTACGGAAAGGTGAAACGAACTCAAAAGCTACAGTATCAAAAGCTTTTAACCCATTTTCAGCCCCAGCTGTAGGGACTACTCCCTGCTTTCTCCAGGAATACCTTCCTGCCTTGGTTGTGGGAAAAGCTGCCTATTGGAGTGGCTACAAGGGCTTCCTGACCAGCAGATGGCTCACTTCTCTCCAAATTGGGGAGGCTAGAATGGATGTTCTAGCCAAGTTCCTAAAATGATTCAGGACTTAGGCTGTAGACAAAGCCTTGAAGAACCAAGAAGGGGAAACATTAAAACGAAAGAAAAAACCCCCCACTGTCTTAGTCTAGTTTACATCCCATGTCCCCCCAAAATACAGTAAAAACAAAAATAAAAACAAACACTTTTGATTTTCTCATTCTCTGCTCAAAATCTAGGTTTTGTCAGATTAGGCTCTCTTGGCTGTGGCTTTATCCCCCTTCAGTGCCTAATGCAAAAAAGCCAGTGCCCGTGTGTTTTTCCCCTGCCTTTTCTTTTCCCCCCGAGGTGGCAGGGGGTGACGGTGGTTCAACCAACACCAAACCACCATTTAGAATTTTGTGCTATTGCAGAAATTCAGCTGGTCCCCACAATAACAAATACTCCTTCCTTATGCAACAATCCTCAGTTTCAGTGGTGGATAATTCTGTTTTATCAGTCTATCATGCAATGCTCTCGTGCCCCACACCTGGGATAACTACTGCTATTAATGCAAACCACAGCAAAAAGGAAAAAATTAAACACCTAAACATTCAACTGGAGTCGGTCCTGTTACGTCTGCTGGTTTCCTCTTTTGTCCACGTTTATGAACTTGGAATGTCCACACCAGGCTTGACAGAAAGAGGCACAGCTCAGCGGCAGCTTGGACCCAGAGAGGTCTGAACTTGGCAGGTTTCCTGAGCCCAGCCCAGGAAAGTAGGCTGGGGTTCTCTGGAGAAGCAGCAGCACCATGCCAGGTCTCCAATCCCTTGGTCTCATCACTGAGAGGAGGCCTGGAGAAATGGCAGAGTCAGCATAGGAGAGGTCGCCATTATAGTGCAGTGATGCTGGCGGGCATCTTCCTGCTAAAAGACCTCTGGACAGAGGAGATGATCCTGATGCTTGGCAGTGATCCATAGAAAACCCTCTGTAGGAAGGAAGCAAACTGGGAACCCAGGATAGCTGGCTCTAGCCTTGAGCACCCCTATTGGCAAATGCCTACTTGGGGTTCTCAGAGACTAAAGGGATGGGAGTGTGCAGTAATGGGGGTGCCGGGTCCTGCTGCTTCTGAAGCTCCATCTCAGCAGCCCTCTGCAGCGCCACCTCCACCAGCAGCTGGAAGCTGCTGAAGTCCTCCTTGTCCTGCTCTGGGGGTGTGGGTGGCGGTGTGTTGAAAAGTCCACCTGTGGGGCTCCCAGCCTCAGCCCTGGTCAGTAGGGTTAGTGTACCACCGGGGGTGACCAGGGGCTTAGGGGGCTCTAGCTCCCCTTCTGGGAAGGGAGCTGCTGGCTTTTCCCCCTGGCCTGGGTGGAGCGGCACAGAGCACACAGACAAGGAGAGCACATTGGTGGGGGCTGGTACAGACACGGCCAGCACGGAGGGGCTGTTACCACGGGGCAGGGCTACATCTGAGGCTTTCCCCCCACGGCGGGAAATGGTGAACTGATTAGGGTCTTTGCCATCCTTCCGCAGCATGTCGGGGAGGAGCCGCCGCCGGGCGTTGATGAACCAGTTACATATCTGAAATGAGTACAAGAGATGGATCAGTTCACTCCATCCAACACAGCTATGAAGTACTGTTTTCCGGGCTCCAGAACACAGCAGCAAACAACACAGACAAGGTCCCACCCTTCACCGAGATTCGTGGTGGAGAGGACAGTTATGTAAAAAGTCAAACTGAGCCAGGTATGGTGGTATGTGCCAGCTACCAGAGATACTGAGGTAAGAAGATTCAAAGTTTGAAGCCAGCCTGGCTAACTTAGAGACCTTATTTTCAAAGAAAAAATTAAACGGGCTGAGAATATAGTTTAGTGCTTCCTAGGTTCAATCCCTAGAATGGGGGCGGGATGGGATAAAAAGGGCTAGGCATGTCAGTGTAGCTCTGGGAAGCTGAGTCAGGAAGATCCCAAATTTGCATCCAGTCTAGACAAGTAGGTGTCTTAATTTTTTTTTTTTTTGTACCAGGGATCAAACTTGGATGCTTTCAAGGCAGGTGGTGGAACCACTGAGCTATAAATCCCCGGCCCTATGTCTTAATTTAAGAAAATAACAACAACAACAACAACAACAACAAAAAACCCCGAAACAAACCAGACCCAAACAGTAGCTCAGGGTGGCCTTGAATTTATAATCCTCCCATTTTAGTTTCCTGAGTGCTAGGACTATAGGCATGTGGAATGGACACTTGGTGAGCTCTTTATAGGTGGCCATGGTGGTGCATGTTTCTCATCCCAGCACTCAGGAGGCTGAGGCAGGAGGATTACTATGAGTTCTAGGCTAGCCTGGAAGGGCTGGGAATTTAGCTCAGTGGTTCTGCTGCCTGCCTTGCAAGTGCAAGGGCTAGCGTTTGATACCTGATACCAAAAAGAAAGAAAGAAAGAAAGAAAGGAAGGAAGGAAAGAAGGAAGGAAGTGGTTGGTTACAGATGTAACTCATTGTGAAGACCCTGAGAAAAAGAAAAACAAGTCACAAACAAATATAAAATCACTACTATGTTAAGGCCAATAAAGGAAGCTACAATGGCTTTTGAAGACAATGGTTTTAGCCTCCCCTGTGGACTCCAGAAGTATTCTCTGAGAAAGTGGTTTAGTTGAGATCTGAAGGTCAAAGTTCTTGAGGGGGAAGGCAAGCAGGGAGGAATGGTGAGTCCTAGCACAATACCAAAGAAACTTCGAAGGGAGACCCCTGCGCATGGTTGGGGAGCGGCACAGTAACTAGGGATGACCTCTTACACTAAGAATTTGGTTCTTTACAGGCACTTGGGAGCCATAGGAGGGTTTTGTTTTGTTTATGGCACTGGAGGTGGAACCTAAGAGCTTTCTAGTGCCCAGCTAAATCCCAGCCTTTACTTTTTTTTTCATTACTGGGGTTTGAATTCCTTTGTGCTTACAAGGCAGGCGGCAGCACCACTGAGCTATATCCCCCACAGCCTTTACTTTTTACTTGGAGAAAAGGACTCACTAAGTTGCCCAGGCTGTTCTCTAAGTTGTGATCCACGTGCCTCAGCCTTCCAAGGAGCTGGGATTACAGGTGTGCACCATCATAACCGGTGCATTAGGAGGATTTTAAGCACAGGCTATGTGGACTACAGACTGGAAGCAAGAAGTCAGGCTGGCAGTGCAGATTGTGTTATGGGATGTGGCAAGAAAAGGACAAGTATTTCATGAAATCAAAGAACCTGCTGCCCAGCTGGCTGTGAAAAGGTGAAGAGGGCATAACGCTCAAAGTAATTCACTCCCCAAAAGGCTGGAAAGCACAATCTTGCTGCAGTGCAGAGAAAGAGCACCAAAGGCAACTACGGGCTGACAGAAACAAAACTTACTATTTCTAAGAGTTATCGAGACTATGAGACTTGAAATGTCCCACTGGTTGGCTGCAAGGTTCAAGGTGCTTGTGGCTTGGGGGACACATCTAACACCCTACTCCGTATTTGTCTGGGCTTTCTGTGCGTGTGGTACCGAGTATTGAACCCAGCCCTCCTGGACTCTTAATAGCTCCTCACTTCATCCTCGTTACTGGTTGTCAGTCTCTTTCTCCTTTTTTCTTTCCAGTACTAGGAACTGAATGCAGGGCCTCATACGTGCTAGGCAAGCACTGTACGACTGAATGATACCTTCCACCCCTTTTGAGACAAGGTGCTAAGTTGCCCTGGTTGGTCTCAGACTTGCAGTACTTCTAATTCAGCCTCTGGAGTAGCTGATATAGGCTCGTGCCACTGTGTTGGCTGGGGATGTCTTTTAACACCAGTCCATCTAATCACGTGCCAATAAACTAGTAGGTGAGTAGCCATCATTAAGTGCCAGTAAGGAAACAAGAACAAAAGAACAGTGCGTGTGTGCGTGTGTGTATATGTGTGTGTGTATGCATGTATATGTGATATATATACACTATTATATATTATAATATATGTATATATTATAATAATATATATATATATAATATCTATCTATCTATCTATCTATCTATCTATCTATCTATCTATCTATCTATCTCCTTTCCTCAATAGGGGTCATACCTGAAGGGTAAGGAAGAACCAGCCAATAGAAAGAATGTTTTAGAAAGAAAGACCAGCAAATGTCAAGGTCCTGAGGCAGGAAAGGGGTCATTTAAAATACAGAGTCAAAAGAAACCATCAACAGAACTAAAAGACAACCTACAATGTGGGAAAAAATTTTTACCAGCTGCTCCTCAGACAAAGGGCTCTTATCTAGAATTTATAAAGAATTCAAAACAATCAGCACCCCCAAATATAAAAATTCAAAAATGGGCATCTGAAATGAACATACATTTCTCAAACAAAGAAGTAAAAGCAGCAAGTAAATATGTGAAAAAATGTTCCACATCACTGGTCATTTGAGAGATGCAGATAAAAACAACACTGATATTCTACCTCACCCCACAAATGGCTGCTATCAAGAAATCACACAATAACAAATGTTGGTGGGGTGGTGGGGAGAAAGGAACCCTTCTCCACTGTTGGTAGGAGTGCAGACTGGTGCAACCACTATGGAAATCAATATGGAGATACCTCAAAGAGCTGGAACTAGAGGTTCTATTTGACCCAGCCATCCCTCTGCTGGGTATCTTTCCAAAAGAATTAAAAGAATCATATCACAGTGATATATGCGTACCCATGTTTATAGCGGCACAGTTTGTAATAGCTAAAACTTGGAAACAGCCCATTTGCCCAGCAGTTGGAAACTGGATAAAGAAGATGTAATTTTTCTATAAAATGGAATACTACTCAGCCATAAAGAATGAGATTAGATTCATTCATAGGAAAATGGATGCATGTTGAGGATATACTCCTAAGTGAAATAAATAAGTCACGCGTGTAAATACTGAATAGTTTCTCTGGTGTGAAGAACTATAATAGTACATGAGATCCTAATGAGGTAACTGACAATGTGAAATAGGAAGAAAAGGGCTAAAGGTGTACAGAAAGTGGCAACGGTAGGGGGAAGGTAATAAGGGAAGAGAAAAAAATATGAGAAAATGAAAAAATGGAAATAAAGTTTGTAAATGGGGAGGGAAGGAGGGGGTGAAGGGAGGGCAGGGACAAGGGGAAAAATGAGAACCAAGACCTGTCATGTAGAGGTACAACATCCCAATCAATAATGAATGTAACTGTACTGTATACCTAACATGTACCAATAAACTCAATGATGAAAAAGCCCAAAACTACAGAGTTCAGGCCAGGGATTTAGCTCAGTGGTTCTGCCGCCTGCCAAGCAAGCACAAGGACCCAAGTTCAATCCCCGGTATTAAAACACAAACCCAAACAGAGTTGACTGCACTAGCCTGGAATACTAGCAAATTGCTAAGTGACTTCACCAAAACTTGACACTTCAGGTCCTTCTCCTGGTTTTTCTTCTCTTTGGCTTATCAGCATATATTTTAAGGACTTGTAAGAAATACACACTGCTACAGTGGAAAGAAAAAATAGGAGCCCCATCCTCTCCCTTCACCCTGTGTTCCAGGAGATGGAAGTGTGTGGGCTGCTGCCATGTCTAGCATTCCTTTAATGTCTATGGAGTGCATTAAAGGCCCAAGGCTCTTGTCCTAGTTTCTGTCCCCGGATATTAGCAGGCTTCTTTCTTGATCCACATCTGCGGAAGCCCTTGGGTACCACCTTCCCATCAACTCTGCCGTCAGACCAGGCAAAGGCATAGCCGCCTGTGACAGGAGCTGGTGCCTGCTAGTGCAGCCATTCCTCAGATGTTCCAAAGACAGCAACAGGCCCACCAGGCTGGAAAGCCTCAAGGCAGAGCAGACGTTTCTGTGGCCCTTCTCTATTCCACCCTGGGTGGACCTTGACTGTCTAGCTTGCGGATCTCTCTTTACCCCATGCTCCCCGCAGTGCAACAGGGCATGTAACCTGCATCACTAGACACTGACTGAGCTGACTTGGACAGGAGCAGCAGGGGAGCCCTAAATAGAAGTAGGGCTGAACAGCTGGGTGGGAGGAAGGAAGGAAACATTTTGGGTATCAGGTATCATCATGCCAGCCATCTCACTTGGATTATGCTTAATCTGCATACAAGCCCTTGAGGAAATGAGCAGTGTCCCCAGAGTACTGCACAGGGAACTGGAGCTCAGTGACGTGAAAGAACTTGACCAAAATCACATGGCCTCTGAGTGCAGAGCTGGGATTGAAACCCTGTCTCTTGGCTGCAGAGGCCTCAAAACTTCACTCTTCTACCAAACAGGATAAATGCATAATCATTCTTCTCCCGAGTGCAACACTATAACACAAAACATCAAGTACTATTCTATTACACATATTAATCTTCAACAGGTATGAAGTGGGTTCTATGATAATCTCCCTTGGAGAAACAGAGGCCCTATCAGACAGGTTCAGTAACTTCTCAGTTTCACACGTGCAGAGGTTGCACTTTGACCAGACAGCTGGTTCCATGCTTCCACCACTGCCAGCTAAGAAGTTAGCCTAAGTGAGGCCCTTTCTCCTGGCTCCAGGCAGCATCTTCCATCTTCCCTCCCTCAGCTACTGGAACTACACAGGAGGACACCGCATCTCTCTACCTCCCCGGCACATGCAGGGAAACCACAGGGTCACAGTGACCCGCATCAGGCAATGCTGAACCAAATGTGGCTGGGGGGAAGTCTCAGGGAAAGGGTCTGGGAGCTGACTATTCAGAGAACAGAAAACACTCCCTTCACATTCCCCCAACTGCTCATCCTGGTCCACAAAAAACTAAGCAGCCCACAGCCTGTCTGATGTTCTCATCTCATAGGATCCCTGCCGAGGGGCTGGGCAAGGCAGGAGGCCCAAGTGCATCAGTGCATAGGGCTCCGGCAGCTACCTAACCCGTGTGTAAGTTAGAAAAGAGCATGTGACTTGCCCCCACTCAAGGTCCTCAGAGTTGGTAGAAGTGTGCTGCGGTGAATTCCATTTTATGATTCGTGTGGCAACACACAGGCTGGGTACACCACAAGCCTCTTTCTGCCATCAGACAGGCTCATGTGAAAGGCTGCTGCCCTGTCAGGGCTTTTTAAAATCATTGGCAAGGCCAGATATTTAGTTAGCTCAGTGGTTCTGCCACCTGCCTCACAAGTATAAGGCCCCAAGTTTGATCCCTGGTACCAAAACAAACAAACAAACAAAAAACAAAACAACAACAAAAATTAGTCATTGGCAAATGTGGGGGTGGGCTTGGGAGGGGCACCAAGAAGCGGACCTAGGTTATGGGGGTGATATAATCGGAGGAGGCAGACAAGTGCTTTCATTCTGTCTTCTAAGCTGGGAAAGAGCAAAAAGGGGCAGAAGGCAGGGACAGGTCTTTCCCAAACACCACAGCATCATGCTACATCTCAGCACCCACACCTAGGTGTTTTGTTTTTGTTTTAGTTTTTTGAGACAGGATATTGCTACGTAGTTCAGGCTTGTCTTAGACTTACTGTGTAGCACAGGCTGGCCTTGAACTCACAGCCATCCTCTTTCCTCAGCTTCCCAGGCTTGTCTTAGACTTACTGTGTAGCACAGGCTGGCCTTGAACTCACAGCCATCCTCTTTCCTCAGCTTCCCAAGTGCTGGGATCACAGACATGCTATGGACATGCGCTGTCATGCCCTGCCCTGGAACTTGTGATTTTTAAATAAGCCATCCAGAGGGTTCTCATGTCCAGGGTTAGGAATCAATGGTTTACTCCACTGATGTAACATGTCCTTGTGTGCCAAGCCTTCTATTTAAGCAAAAAATCTTACGCATAAGCTCAAAAAGTATACACAGAGACAAAAGGCCTTGAGGTGGGGAGCTGGTCTGCTTGTGGGAGGTCTCAGAAGGCAGCTAGCTTTGAGGTGAGAAAGAAGAGCTGGAGAGCTGGGACAGAAAGATAGGTACTGCTGCCCTGTGGGCTAGGCCACCCTCACACACAGCCACATTTCGGCCTCTGCACCAGGGCTTCTCACTCTTGGCCCTAACCACAGGGCCTGCTGCTCCTGCTCTGATGAGGGCTCAGGCAAAGCTGCTTTCAGAGAGGGTCCACTGTTCCAGCACACAGCATAGGCAGGCAAGCAGTCCCAGTGAGTGTGGAGGGCAGAGATGTGGCCCAGAACCCTCCCAGGCAGCCCTGTACACTGGAAACCACAGATGGAATCCAACCGATAAACTGGGCCTAGAGGGTGTCACAGGAACCTGTGAAAATCCTTCACGAGACACTTTTTTTCCCGTCTAACCCTCCCAACTGCCTCTTTCTGGGCAAGTACCAGCAAACCAGTTGGTTAAATGACTCATTGACTTGCTAATGAGATAGCTCCTGGCCTGTTAAAAGAGACAATCAAAAAGGATGCCCCTAGGGAAAACTAAAACAGGCCTGGCAAGGCGTGGATACCTGAAGAAGCCAGTGGTATTGAGGATTCAACGTAGTATTCTCTTACCTCTCTGGATATTTGAAAATGTCTTTAATAACAAACAAAACTTTAAAAAATAAATACAGGAAAAGAAAATGCAGCAAGGAACTTAAGTCAATTTTTCTTGACCAAGGAGCCTCTACAGTTCCTTACTTCGGACAATTCCAACACTATCGTCCTTCTTTGTCATTTCAGCCATTTAATTACTGAGCATTACCCACCAGATACCAAGCAGTGAGCCAACATCGAGGTTATAGCAATAAAACTAGAACTCTGCCCTTCACACTTCCAGAATTCAGTGCCATCTAAAAGCAACCTGTAGCTGGGTGTGATGGTGCCTGTAATACCAGCCTCTTTAGGGGTTGAGGCAGGAAGACAGTGACTTCAAGTCCAGCCTGAGCAACCTAGTCCCTCTCCAAAAAAAAAAAAAGCTGGGATGCAGCTTAGTGCAGACCCTAGGTCTAAACCTCCTACTACAACAGCAACAAAAAACACACAGTCAAGTACACCCCCACATACCCCAAGCCCTGCCTCATGCTCAGACCCAGTCCAGGTGCTGTGGGAAGATATAGCTCCCCCAGGAATCCAGAGTGCCCTGGTTAGAGGTGGGAGGAAAGCAGCCAAGGGCAGCCATCAGTGTGTGCAGCAGGAATGTGGGGGGTGGGGGTCTGGGATGAGGCTAAGATGCAGAACGACTGACATTATGATTAGGTTGGCAGGAGCCACTAAAAGGGCTGGAAGTCACAGAGTGACAAGTGATCAATATACAACAGTTTGAGAAACACAAGAAAGATTTAAGGGAAATACGTACAGAGACAGTGATCCCAAACAAGCTAAGAAGGCACTATGGAGGGAACCACCCAGAAAGGGAAGCCAGTTGGAGGGATTATGTTATCTGAGTCAGGCAATCTTGGGTGCCTGAGACTCCGAGAGGTACAAGGTTGGGGCTGATGTGGGAGACACAGTGGCCACCAGTGGGACCCTTCCCTAGATTTAAGATTTCTACAAGTGGATCTGTCACCCTTAAGGCTCCACTACCCTCTATGAGGGTGCTCTGTGTTCCATTCCACCCCTAGAGTCACTGCCTTTGTCCTACTCTACCCCAGCATAGGCAGCAAAACACCATCTGCCATTTAATATATAAAGTAGATTTCCATTATTTTACACCTACCCACTTTGGGAAATTGTTCCATTTTATAGTTGTATATAAAAACAAAAATTGGGGCTGGGGATTTAGCTCAGTGGTTTCACCAGTTGCCTCAAAAGTGCAAGGTCCCAAGTTCGATACCCCGATACCAAAAAAATATGCATTTTTTTGGGGACTTGGAATTGAACTTGGGACCTTGCATTTGCAAAGCAGGGGCATCCCCTGGGCCCCCCCCAGATAATTTTTTAACCCTATTTTATATATGTACATCTCTTTGAGTAATACAATGAAGTTAACATCTTTTTTGGGGGGTAGTACAGGAAATTGAACCCAGCACCTTTACACTGAGTCTAATTGTTCAGACTATGCTGGGCATGGTGGCACATACCTAGCACTCAGGATGCTGGCACAAGAACATCGCCATGAGTCTGAGGTCAGCTTGGACTGCATAGTGAATTCAAGGCCAGCCTGAACTACAAAGTGAGACTCTGTCTTAAAAAAAAAAAAAGCCCAGGCTGTGGTGGTTCTCGCCTGTAATCTCAGCACTTGGGAGACCAAAGAGGAGGATCACTGTGAGTTTGAAGAGGCCAGCCTGGGCTATACAGTGAGACCCTGCCTCAATAAACAAACAAAAACCAAGATGAACTGAAGTTAAAAAGGCGGAGGCAAGAGAATAGCAAAGAACTGTCTCTGCAATGCTGGCTCTCAGGCTGCAGGCATATGCAGTTTGACAATCTGTAAGTTTCAGGCTACCTCCTCTGGGAGGTTTACCTAGATCCTGCCCTGCCATGAATCCATGACCTCTTTTGTCCCAGCAGCGCTCACTTTTGCTCACTTTTGCAAATATCGGTGACCAGGTCTGCCTTTTATCCCCATCCCTGAGGAGATACTCCCTCAGGGTGTCCTAAGGCAGTTAGCTGGGCACAGGGAGGGTGCTCAGGAGGTTAACTCTGAAAGCTTCCAGCTGCTTGGCACAACAGGGCTTGGTCCAAGACCCCTGAACTCAGCACAGATGAGGGTGGGAACAACAGCAGAAGCACCCACTGTGTGGCAGACACCTCAGAGTGAGCTCTGAATTCTCATTCCCTCCTTCCTACACCCTAGGAAAGTGCTACAACAATCTCCCTATTTTCAGATGAGGAAGTAGAATGAGAGACAGCAGTGTCCTGGCTAAGGTCCAGACTTTCTCTTAGGGAGAGGATGGAATCTGAGTCAGGATCTGTAACCCGAGACTCTTTCTCACAGACTCGATTAACCACTGCCCAGTGAGTAAAGCCAGTTAGAGTCCCAAAGCTGAACATTTACATGTCTTTTCATGGGAGAGGGCAGGGAGTTGGCACGCAGGGAAGTAGGACGTAAAGGATTAAAAGGGTAAAGGAAGGAGGGTGAGAGTGCCACAGGCTGAACCAATGGGCCATTACAGGACACAGGTGCAGAGGGAGGAGGGAGGCTTAGGGGAAAGGCTGGGGTGGTGCATTCAGGGAGTAGTGAGATCCATGGGGGTGAGGGGGTGAGCCCCCAGTGCGAGGCCTCCTCTCCCAAGGAGGTGTCAGCCAAAGTGGACACAAAGCAAAGGCAGTCCAGGGTACCCTGCCTTAGCACCATGAAAACAAAGACACCTGCAAGTCAACACCAGGGATAATTCAAATTCAAATGAGGTGCTCCTTTGCTCCCTGACACTTTTGTTCCGTGGTGCTGCAGATGGAACCCAAGAACACTCTACCACTAGGCTTCTTCCTCATTCCTTTTTATTTTCACACAGCATCTCATCTGGTTAAGTTGCCCAGAATGGCCTCTAAACTGCTATCCTCCTGTAGTTAGGATTACTGGCGTGTGCCACTGTGCCTGGCTGATACCATATATGTGGTTTACAAATCGCTTTCCAGTTCTGAATCTATTCTTCACAACAGTTCCCTCAGGCAGAAGAGGAATCTAACTTTCATTTTATAGATGAGTAGCACAAGACCGGGTTCACAGTATGAGGGAGCTAGGTTAAGCTAGTCAAACTTCTAGTTGTGACCTCTGACTTCTGCTCTTTTATTTGTTGTTCTGGTTGAGACAGGATCTCACTATGTAGTTCAGGGTAGCCTCGAACTCACTATGAAGCCCTCTTTAGAATTTTCTACTGTCTGAAGTCTACCTGCAACGACCTCACTTTGTTGTGTCTCAAGGCAGAAAAGTGAATGTTCTTACCCGATCCAAGAAGAAATTAGGGCCCAGAAGAGGGAGGTGACTGCCCCAAGACCACACCATTGAGACAGTGACAGGGCTGGGACAGAACTAGAGCCCAGGTCCTCCACTTACCTGCAGCACAGAGAGGTTGGTCTGTCCAGAAAGGCTCAGTTTCTCCTGCTCCGAGGGGTAGGCATTGTAGCGGTGCAAGTACAGCCAGTCCCGGAGGATCTTCACTGACTCCTTGGGCAGGTTCCCCCTGCGCTTCCTCTTGCCCGCCAGGGACAGAAGACCTTCATCCTCACCTAGATCGCTGTCAGACATGGTGCCTACGGGTGAGGCTGGACCTCCAGTGAGCCTGGGACAAGGACACAGGGGAGTGCATGTCGTTATGATGCACTGCCTCTCACCTAGTTCCTTTTCTCCAAACAGTACTACAGCCTGGGGCACCAGAAATGGAGGAGTTGCAGTTCAAAGCCTTGGGCTATACCATACTTTGAGCAAGCTAGAAGGGAAAAGCCCATGATGTCACCATTTCATGGCATGGGTGGATGACTACTGAAATAGACAGCAGCAGGTCATTCATAACTAGGAACAGGACTATAAGTAATTTCAGCTACCACTGGTTAAGGCCTGCTATTTCCACGTTCTTTACTATGTACAGATGCTTCACATCTATCGCCTCATTTAATTCTTGTAAATCCTTATAAGGGAGTAATTATTCTTATTTTATTGATGAGAAAACAGAGATTAAGAAAGCCGCCAAAGGTACTATTATGGTTAACATGAAGTTACCAAGCAACCCAGCAACTTCACTGCCAGCTATCTACTCCAGAGAAATATAACCTGGGTGCACATAAGACTTAGAACATAAACGCTCAGCATTATTTGTAATGGCCAAATGGTCGAAGTATCATCAGCAGTTAAAAAAGGAAAATGTAATCTATCTATACAATGGCCTATTATTTAGCTATAAAGAGTTGAACCCTGATTCTACTACAACATGGATAGAACTTGAAATTATGCTAAGAGAGACTAGTCACAAATGACTACATTTTTTTTGTTTGTTTTTCGCAGACAAGAGTTTTGCTGTGCAGCCCAGGCTGACCTTGCACTCACTGTAAGCCAAGGCTGGGCTGGAACTCAAAACAATCTTTCTGAGTGCTAGGATCACAGGCATGTGCCACCACATCAGGCAAGACCACATTATTATATTATCTGCCTCGTAAGCACAAGGTTCTGAGTTTGATCCTAGTATGGGGGGGAAGACCACATATATACATTTCCACTTATAACGGGAAATCCAGAAGTGACCCTATATACACAAGGCAAACCAGAAGTTAATAAGGGCTGGGAAAGAAAGAAGTATATGGGGTTTGTTTTCTGAGGCTATAAAAAGTGAGGCAGGATATTCACCAGTCTGATACCAGCCGGAACAATTCAAAGAGATCCCACTTCAAAATAAAAAGTAAAAAGGGCTGGGGATTTAGCTCAGTGGTTCCACCGTCTGCTTCTCAAGTGCAAGGACCCGAATTCAATCTCCGGTACAAAAAAGAAAAAGAAGCAAAGGCCAGGTGTGGTAGCACAGGCCTGTATTCCCAGCACTGAGGATGCTTAAGACAGGAAGACAGTAGTCGAAGGCCATCCTATACTACATAGTGAAAATGTCTCAAAAAACAGAAACAAAAATTGGACTATAGTCAGGGGTGATAGAGACATAGCAAGGCCCTGAGTTCAAGCCCAGTATCACACACACAAAACCCTAAAATTGACTATAGTTGTAAACATACTAAAAATCACTGATATGTATACTTTATTTATTTATTTTTGGTACCAGGGATCGAACTCCAGACCTTGCACTTGCAAGACAGGTGTCCGAACCACTAAGCTAAATCCCTGGCCCCTGATAGTATACTTTAAATGGGCAAGTTTTACAGTGTTAGTTAAACCACAGCACAGTTATTTAAAAAGATTCCACCTCCAGGATAAATTATCAAAGTAGGATTTGGATTCAGGTAACTTGCCTCCCCTCACACACCTTTTGGACTCTACATTATCCTGCCTCCCAGGTGTCTGAGGCCCCAGAGGAGTCTGGAAACTCTAATCACCATGGCCTGCTGCAACCCATGTAATATTTGCTGAGCACCGTGTACCCTGCAGGAAAGAACAGTGAGTCATTCCTCACTAAGTTGCCAGTAAGTTTCTTAGACCTTCTCTTTGACAGCGTGATCCCAGACTTAACCTCTCAAAATTCAGAAGAGTGAGCAAGGCTGGGCTCTGGTCCCTGCCTACCCTCCACTTGTTTGTGTGACCCTGGGTAAGTCCTCCTTTCTCTGGGCGTGAAGCCCACCCTCCTTCACTTGTCAAGTGAAGGAACTTTTCCCCCCTAGATATGCCAACTCAGTGCTCCTCTCCTAAAGTTCTTGTTCACACAGGCAAAGAAATTTACATTTTAAAAACAAAAATTCTAGGCCAACCAGATGCCAGAATTCAGGCTCCTCCCTTCTCAGCCTTTTAACAGCTCCCCAGCAGGCCAAGCCAACAGACTCTGGCATCTCCCAGGTTTTGTTTCCTGGACTTGGGCCTGGGCCCAGATCTCTGTGCCGGCTAGGCCAGGCTTTCGAGGGAAGGGTCTACCCTCAGCCAGGCCACCTGGAGGCGAGACAGGCACTACTTAGAGGTGCCACTCCTCAGAGAGCACCACCACCAGCAGGCTGAATTCGGAGGTCAGACATTTGGATCAACCAAAGCAGCTGGGATCTGGGCTGAGCGATGCAGGCTGGCAGGCTGTGAAAAGTTTACTCAAGGTTATCTGCACAAATTCCACCCTGGCCGCCAGCCAGAAGCCAGTCTGCAGGGTTCCTGGGGTGGGCTCTGGGGTGGACCCTTAGTGTGCAAAAATCTTTCCACCTCGGTGTCCTGCACCCCAGACCAGACAGCACTCGGGCAGGTTTCCCACACATATACCCCATGCTCGCATGCCAACACACCAAGCAATTTTAACAGTGCACAGATAGCTGGCCCGAACCACTCCACAAGCCCTGCAAACCCCATGATTTTCAGGGCCACAGACAGAATCGCCTTACAACCCCACGCCCATCAATAGCAGTGATACACACAACCAGGCCAACTCCTGCATCAGCCCACCCACGAACTCCAACTGACCTGCCCACCCACGATCTCCCCCAAAGGGGAAGGGCTGGACGTCATCACACCAGCCACTAGTTCCGTGGCAGCGCTCTTCAACACTACGCCCATGCACCCTCCTACACACTCCCACGACGCCACCTGCAGCCACTCCCGCAGGAACTTTCTGACAACTGCCCCAGCTCGGCTGGCGCTCCCCCGGGCCGCGCACTGGAGCTCGCATTCCCAGCAGTTCACACAAAGCGCGCAGCCTCCCCCACGGCCCAGACAGAGCAGAGCACATGGCTCCCCGGGCGGCTGGGGGTTGGCCGGCGCTCGGGACACCCGCACCCCAGGCCCCCCACCCCGCTTCAGAAAGCGCACAACGGATCCCTCGCGGGCCCGCAATCCCAGGGGAGCGAAGGCTCTGGAAGAAAGAAAACTCACGTGTCTGTCCTAGGGCAGGAAAAAGTTTGGGTCCCACCCCCTTCCCCGGCCGCTCCGCGCAGGCTGACTCTTCGGGGCGCGGGGCCGGAGGAGCGTGCGCGCTCGGCTTTGTGCTCCAAACTCGGCCCGGAGGGGGAGGGGAGAGGAGGGGGCTGGGCTCCCACCTCCGCACCGCCCCCCCAGTTCTGCGCCCAGA